TCTCTTTTGGCAAACTAAAAATGGCACATCTTTTGAATAGTTTATAGGAAATATAATTGAGGTGACACCAATGTCGGGAAGTATCCTCCTCAGAATGCCAAAGGGGCTATGATTTTGAATTCTGAGAAAATACATGAAATCCTAGCACAACACCCTGCACTACATAGGGCTACATAGTTATAAATGCTTTCACTGTTTTCTCCATTTTTTTTTTTAATTCTGAGACAAGGTCTGGCTCTGTTGCCCAGGCTGGAGTACAGTGGCCCAATCCCAGCTTACTGCAGTCTCAATATCCTGGACTAACTTTTTTTGCAGAGGTGAAGTTTCACTATCTTGCTCAGGCTGTGTTTTCTCAGTTTTGTAGCAATAACTTATCGAGTGGTTGCAGATGAAATGTAAATGTTACTAATTCTCATAATATACAAAGTAGAGCTGACAATAGGATAGTGAAGAGGTTTATAAAAGTAGAGAAAAGGAGCATGGATATTCTAATCTCCCTAGGCTCAAGCAACTCTTCCACTAATTTACCAGGTCTATGGCCTAAAGCAAGATACCTATGCCTCCTTTTCTACAAAAAAAGGAAAATAATAGTACACTGATTTCCTAAGGCATCTTAAAGACTAAATGAGACAATGCAAATAAAGCATTTGAGAGTGCCTGGAACTCACTAAGGACTAGGTACAGGGTGGTTATCATACTTAATTGTATTTTATGAGGGAAATTTTACTGTCATAGTACCATTTTAAAATTTGAGGACTCCTGAAATTGCAAGACCATTCTTAGTCAATGTGAATTGTCAGACTACATATATTATATATATGCCTATTTTCTTCTTCTTTTTTTTTTTGAGACGTAGTCTTGCTTTTGTCACCCAGGCTGGAGTGCAATGGCACAATCTTGGCTCAGTGCAACTTCCGTCTCCCAGGTTCAAGCAATTATCCTGCCTCAGACTCCCGAGTAGTTGGGATTATAGGCACCCACCACCATGCCCAACTAATTTTTATATTTTTAGTAGAGACAGGGTTCACCATGTTGGCCAGGCTAATCTCGAACTCCTGACCTCGTGATCCACCTGCCTCGGCCTTCCAAAGTGCTGGGATTACAGGCGTGAGCCATTGCACTGGCCTATTTCCATATTTTTCATCTTCAATTATGACTTCTCCATTGAACTCAGGACCCCAACTGTCTATCATCTCAACTTGTATATTAAACAACCTTCTCATACCTAACACATTAAAAACTAAACTGTTTATATCCTTCACCCAATGTGTTCTTCTCTCAGTCTTTCCTATTTCAATAAATAGCACAATCTAACCTACGGCTCAAGCAAGGCAATTATCCATAATTCCTCCCTTTCAACCCTCAAACCCAATCCAATGCGAGCTCTTACTGGATCTACCACCAAATCACAGCCCAAATTTTCCACTTCTCTACATTGCCATCGCTATCGAATCAGGCCTAGCCACCATTCTCTCTCTCTTTGCTGCTTCTGTTAGGCAACTCTCCACAAAGCAGACACCCTCTACACACATACAACCCTCCACTGTATTTTTTTTAGACAGGAACTTGCTATATTGCCCAAGCTACTCTCAAATTCCTGGCTTCAAGTGATCTTCTGTCTCAGCCTCCCAAGTAGCTGGGACTACAGGCATAAGCCACCATGCCCAGTTCCCTCCACCATATTTAGAATAAAATACTATGACTTTACACCTGCCTCTTCAACTTCATCTTTCTTAACACCTCACTTGTTTAAACTCTAGCCAGGTTGGCTTTTTTTATGTTCCTCAAAAAAACTAGGGTCTCTGAATTTGCTGTTTCCTCTGCTTCAATCATTCTTCACTCATCACTCATGTTTTTTCAGTGTCTACACTCACGTCATCGTTCCTGACCACCCAAAACACAGTCTCAAAATCATTTCATATCATGTTAATTTACAAGCACATGCTACCTGAAATGATCTAATTTCTACACCTGTCTACCTTTTTCTAACACAATTGCAGGGACCTCACTTTCCCATCTTCTGTTAAATCGCCCTCTCAATTAGGTCTTCAATGACCAGCTACTTAAAATTCCAACATCTGCATCTTGCCTCGTATTCGCTATTCCTTTCACTGTTCTTTTTCTCCACTTATCACCACATAACACACTATACATTTTATTTATCTTGCCTGCTTATTCCTCTCCTACTACTAGAATCTAAGTCCACAAAGCAAAGATTTGTCTTTTTTTTCCACATTGTATCTGCAACGCCTAGAAGAGTGAGTTCCTGATAATAATAGGTCATCAATAAATATCCTAATGAAGCTGAAGGAATGAGCCTTGTCTTGTTCAAAGCTGGATGGATCCTTAGCATCTTGAATACAAAGCATACAGGAGGCATTCAAACTTACTAATACAATGACTGTTACTGAGACATTCAGATTCTGAAGCACTACCAAATCCAAAGAAAAATTGCATTTTGTTCAGTATAAAACGAAACTGAAGTACGATTCTATTTGTATGTTCAAAAATTTCTATGACACACTTTTTAAAATAGAGTTAAATATGTTTTATTGTATCTTAAAAAAAAAAAAAGATTACCCAGTTGGGTAACTTAGTTTGTAAAACCCAAAGCAACAGATTAATTAGAATGTCCTTTCCCTATGTCAGAAAAGTTTTTATACTATAGAATTCAACAGAAAGGGGAGAACTAGTAATTTAGGAAACAGAGCACAGAACTGAATGGATCAATGTCCCTGAGTAAGCAAGAAGGCATGGAATCTAACACTTTTGTGGAGGGAATGGCATAAATGAGGAAAACAGGCAATTCATCTATTATAGTAAAGAAGATGGTAGATTATATAGTCACAGCTACAAGGCAGTGTACAGATAAGGTGGTGGGAGGCTGTGGCAGTTCTCTTCCCATTGCTGAAAACTGTCTTGGGCTACATTACCTAGTGAGGAGCACAAAGAAAAGATGAGTAAAAACAGATGAGAAGCTGGATGAGACCTCTGATGGATTCTAACTCTTAACGAACAGTTAAAAACACAGCACCAAATGGAAGTAGGGCTTAGAGGCATAACAAAAAATTAGCACACTGTGGTATCACAGAATATTAGTGTGATTGCTCAACTGTCATTCACTGAGGATACATCTGAGGAGTGAAATGGCCCAAAGCCAATTTACAACAGCTTGTGTAGAAGATGGCATACCAATCTTCACTTGGGAAGGAGTGCAAACATTATCAAAGTGCTGTCTTTCTACAACAGTCTATGCTGCAGCATAAAATCAACTATCTTATGGCCAGGTGCAGTGGTTCATGCCTGTAATTCCAGCACTTTGGGAGGCTGAGGCAGGAGGATCATCTGAGGTCAGGAGTTCAAGACCAGCCTGACCAACACGGAGAAACTCTATCTCTACTAAAAACACAAAATTAGCCAGGCATGGTGGCACATGCCTGTAATCCCAAATACTGAGGAGGCTGAGGCAGGAGAATTGATTGAACCTGGGAGGCAGCGGTTGCTGTGATCTGAGAGCGCACCACTGTACTCCAGCCTGGGCAACAGTTGCAAAACTCCATCTCAAAAAATAATAATAATAATCAACTATTTTGAGTGTGAATATGTATATGCCTTTCTCACAGAGTAAATTTAGCTTGTTTCTTCCAAAGAAATAATCTCCCAAATGATAATGATGTATCATTAACTTTTCCCCAAACTTTTTAAAAATAATAATCAAGAGATGGTATGTAATGAAGCATCAATGTGGTTAGTTCTCAACCTTTATTATCCTTATAAAAAGTCCAACCTTTCCAAAACTCATCTGGGTTTTACCATTAAATCTGCATCATAATTCTAGAATTTGCCCTTCTTCTCTTTTTGAATAAAAGGTTTCAAAGTACAGCCTATTCACTGAGTTATGAGAATATGTTACTAAGAAGAATCACTTCATTCATGGGAAGTTGCAGCCAGCATTTTAAAGCAACACTGCCACCAGAAGACAAGAAAGAAAAGTAACTACTAACGACTACAGGGAATGTTAATGACAAAATATTTATCTGGCCTCCCAACCTGGCAACATTACAACCTACCTACCAAACACTCTTCAGAAAGGCTCATTTCTTCTTGTACCTCATCTTTTCGTTTATTTTTCCCCAGCACTGGCCTATCTACTAGGACACAGTTTCAAATCCAAGTCAGTCCTAAACCCCGAGGGAAAGCAAAATGACAGCGAGTTCAATTGCTTTCTGCTCTCAATAAAGGAAAAGCAAATAAATAACGTCAGGGGGTCAGCGTCTTTTCATTAGATGTAAAAGTAAACACAACCAGGGACCTGTTTAATCCTTAAGGATCCCAAACATTAAAATTATTTTAAAAATAAACAGATAAAAACCATTAAGAGGGAATTAACTTGGTATCTCCTTTCAACCTAAAATCGTATCCTAATGTACTATTTGTTGGTCTGGGTAGTGTTTACACAGGTGAGCACACAGGTTGAAGTGTTTCACTGATTTCTTTTTTTTTTTTTTTTAAATAAGTGATCGACATTGTGTCCTACAGCCAAGTTAACTCCGCAACGTATCACGGAATCGCTGAATTAGTCATTGTTCACAAGTGTAGAAAAATGTGGTCAGAAGTCAGTCCTCGGTTCGCGTAAGAAGAGGCAGGCTGCCCAGTGGCGACGGGGGACCCGTGTTTCCCCCTCTTTTTTTGGCGCGATCTCTGCTCACTGCAACCTCCGCCTCCCGAGTTCAAGCGATTCTCCTGCCTCGGCTGGGATTACAGGCGAGCGCCACCACGCCCGGCCAATTCTTGTATTTTTAGTAGAGACAGGGTTTCACTATGTTGGGCAGGCTGGTCTCGAACTCCTGACCTCGTGATCCGCCCGCCTCGGCCTCCCAAAATGTTTCCCCTCTTACGCGGCTGTTCGGTCGGGAGCTCTCCCGGCACTGCGCTCCCGTCCGGGATTAAAGGGCCGCAGCGGAGGGCGTGACCAGCCCAGCCTCGCCGTCGTCGCTTACCCGGTAGTTGCTCGAACCCACCCAGCCGGTGAGCGCGTCGACCGTCTTGCCCAGGCGGCCCAGGTCCTCCTCCAGGTCCGGGATGGCGCCGGGGGTGCCGAGGTAGAGCAGGAGCTCCTGGCCAACCTGCAGCCGGCCGCCGACGTCCTTCTGCTGCACCTGGGCACTGAAATACTCCATGCTGCGGGGCTCCATGGCTGCGGCCGCCCGCCCGCCCGCCTGCCAGTCTGTGAGCCGCCAACTTTCTCCAAGCGCCGCCCAACCTCTAGTGCGGGTCCCCGCGGGAGCGGGCGGGACTCACTTAGCCCGCTAGAGGCGCGGCTTGCGGGGCGCAGAGGGCGGCGGGAGCAACGCCAAGCGCTCAGCGGCCCCCAAACTAGTCAAACTCGGCGCCCCCCGAGCCCCAGCCCGCTTCAGAGGCCGCGGCCGCCGGCGACGTCAGCACGCGCGTGACGTCAGCACGACGCCGGCGAGGGCCCTCCCGTCCGGCAATCGCTTCGCGACTGAGGTGGCGGCTGTGGCAGCGGAGACCGCTGGGAGTGATAGGACCACTAGGAATTCGGGCCAGACTTGGGTCGAGCCCCCCGGGAGGCGGGCGGTTCTGCACTGGCCGCTATTGCGGCACCCTGTCCTCGCCCTGTGAAATGTAGAACGTTTCCAAGTTTTCCTCCACTCACTTCTACTCAACACTTGGGAAAGTTTCTGGTACCTCCTTTCCCACCCCCACTGCCATTTTTTTTTTAAAAAAGCGGAATACACTTTAATATTCTTCTTTATCAAAAACATCATGAATTCTGCTTCCAGCCACTACCACAGTCACTGTGTGATGCTACAAAAACAAAAACAAAAAAGCCTTCGTTTTGCAGAAAGTCAAACGCACAGATTTTCAGCGTACACTTACGAGTTTCGGCAAAGGTATTCACCCGTGTAACCGCCACCCCAGTGAGGGTACAACACGTTTCCAACACCCCAGGAAGTCCCAACACTTCCCAATAACCACCTCCTCCCTAGGCAATTCTAATTTGATTTCTATCTCGGTAATATAGTTTTCCCTGTTCCTGCCATAGAGTCTTCACATTTTTGGAGTCTGGTTTCTTAGCATACGGTCCATCGAGCACTGTCAGTGTCTCAGAAGTCCATGCCTTTTTATTGCTTTCCATTCAGTGGAATCACTACCATTTGTTGATCCGTTCACTTGTTGGTAGATATTTGGGTTGTTTCCAATTTTTTATAATTATGAATAAAGCTGCTACAACAGTTAGTGTACAGGTTTTTGTGTGGATATATTTTCTTTTCTCATGGGTAAATACCAAGAGTGGCACTACTAGGTTTTGTAAGTTGTATGTTTAACTTTAGAAGAACCTGTCGAATTGTTTACCAAAGTGACTGGATCATATTAAATCCCCACCAGCAACGCTTGAGAGTTCCAGTTGCTCCACGATATTTGGCATGAGGTCAGGGTTATTAGTTTAAGCCATTATAGTGGGGGTAGAGTGGTCTAATCCATTCCAAATGTGCACTGTATTTATCTTCCTGCCAGTTATTCACAATCACAATGAAATGATTATTTGTGTAGTATCTTTCTCTTCTGATACACAAAAAGCTCCAGGAACCTTTGTGTTTTCCTAGGATGGTGCCTGGCAAATAATGGGTGCCCAATTTAAGTTAAAAGAGTAAATGAATTCAACAAAAATTTATGTTTTAAATATTCGCAAGTAAGAATAAACAAACTCAAAATTCAAAGAAATTTACTGTTTTCTGTGTTCTTTTTTCAATATTTCTGTGTTTCACATTGTATTGTGGTTGTAAATTTTCTCTCATCTTTAATTGGTTGTAATTTCCCTCAGACTGTGCCTCAATCAAGTAAACTATGTGTGATGGTTAATTTTATGTGTCAATTTGACTGGGGCAAGAGATGCCCAAATAGCTGGTAAAACATTATTTCTGAGTGTGTCTGTAAGAAACTTTATGGAAGAGATTATCATTTGAATTGGTGAGCTGAGTAAAGCAGATGGTCCTTCCCAATGTCAGTGGACATCATCCAATCCGTTGAGGCCTGAATAGAGCGAAAAAAGTGGAGAAAGGCTGAATTTCCTCTTTCTGCTTGATCTGAAACATTCATCTTCTCCTGCTCTCAAATATTGGTGCTCCTGGTTCTCAAACTTTTGGATTCAGGCAGAAACTTGCATCATCAGGCCCCCAGTTCTCAGGCCTCCAGGACTGTATTACACCACCAGCTTTCCCAGTTCTCCAGCTTGCAAATAGCAGACATGGGACTTCTCGGCCTCTTTAACCATGTGAGCCAAATCCTGTAATAATTCTCCTCTCTTTAGGCCAAGTGCAGTGGCTCATACTTGTAATCCCAACACTTTGAGAGGCTGAGGTGGAAGGATCACTTGAGCTCAGGAGTTCAAGACCAGCTTGGGCAACAAAGTGAGACCCTTTCTCTACAAAAAATCAAAAAAAATTAGCAAAGCATGGTGGTGCACACCTGTGGTCTCAGCTACATGGGAGGCTGAGGCAGGAGGATCACTTGAGTCCAGGAGGTCAAGGCTGCAGTGAGTTGTGTTTGTGCCAGTACACTCCAGCCTGGGTGACAGAGCAAGACCGTGTCTCAATTTTAATTCTAGAAAAATTATTCTCCCCATATCTATCTGTCTACTGGTTCTGCTTCTCTGGAGAACCCTAACTAATACATTATGGTAATTATTCCTTGGGTGTCTAAAGGTTCTGTCCTTAAAGGGTTGCAGAAGGATATAAAAAGAGGTTTCTGTCCAGAAGAACTTTACACTGGAATTGCTGTTGACCAGGTGCAGTACGTGATATAGAAAAAAAAAACGAAATGCAGGCGCTCTGGATTCTAGGTGCAGCTCTACCTGTTCCTATGACCAAAAGTGACTGCTGCTCTTCACCCTTGGTTGTTTTTAGTCCCCTTTCTGAACTTACGAAACTTGAAAAGCACACTAGATGGTTTTTAAGTTATCAGTAACTAAATCATCTTTAGGAGTAACCCTGGAAGAACCTATAAAGTTATTATTAATTATCATTTCTTGTGTTTTATTTTTAGTAGAGATGAGGTTTCACTGTGTTGCTCAGATTAGTCTCGAACTTTTGGGCTCAAGCAATCCTCCCATCTCGGCCTCTCAATGTGGTGGGATTACAAGCATAAGCCACTGTACCTGGCTATAAAGTTAATAGTAAACATTGATTACTATTACTTATATATTATTTCTGTGTTTCATTAATTCATTAACAAATATCTTCTGAGCACCCGTGTTGTGGTAGATACTGTGCCAAAGTTCCAAAGACACAAAGTTCATTTAGACCTGGTCTCTGCCCACTAACTCTAATAGGGTCAGGAAAATCAACACTTCTGAGATGCTATGATAAACAGAGGGTTTTTGAAACCTAGATGAGAGGCTCCTTATCTAGAGAGTACTGAGTATGGGAGTAGAAGAGTTATAAATTAGAGAAGGCTTCTTGAAAGAGGTTATATTTAAATTGAACTTTGAGGATAACTAGGAATTAACTAATTAAAGAATTGGTTTCCTGGGGAGTTGCATGTTTGTCTACAAGATGTAGTCTCAACTATTTAGATTAACCATTGTTATTATCAATAAATACCTACTACAGAATCTACATCTTTATTTATATCACTGTTATCTGTCCTAGGTTAAACATTGTTAGAGCAGAAAGTTCACAAAATTGCTATCATCTTTGTCATTTTTTCACAGCACCCCTAGACCAAAGAAATACCTAATAAGTCCATTGAACAGCTGAGATCCAAACAACTTAATATTTATATCCTAGCGACTTACTAGGCATATGAAGAAACGATATACACAAATCAAAAAATTTATTTTTAATTTCATTCTTGAACAACCACACTTATAAATTAGATGTCTGTGCCTGTTGGTTACTGCCCAATTTCTCTAAACTTGAAATGAGACTTTCTCATTCTGTTGCACATTGATAATCAGACAGTCCTTTTTTTTTTTAATCAACACAACCACAGAAAACACAGTCTTGCAAAGATATGAAATCGGTGAAAAAAAATGTACTATAATGCAAAGATATAATATTAATGAAAAATAATGTGCCACAATCTGATGTTGAAACTGTGCACTACTTGGAGTCATTACATGTCTGACAAATACCAATGGTTACCATTTCCCTTCAGAATTTAAAATATCCTGGAGTGCTCCTGGTGAGTTTGTTTCGGCACCCCAGGGTGCTAGCCACACAATTTGGGAACTTTGGCATAAACCGATGCCTGATGATGCCCAAATTTTCAGAGAGACAAAGAGAAGAGCAAAGAGTAATCATGCAGGAAGAAGGTATGGCTTCAATAAGGACTGGGCTTCACAAAGGCTCATGCCTAATCATATGTTAGGGCTTTTAATCCTCTAAGCAACCCCGTATGGAAGATATTATATTCCCAATTTAGCAGGGAAACGCTGAGGCTCAGAGATTAAGCTCCCAGCCTCATTCATGATTTCGGATCCATGACTCAAACCCAAGATGTCTGGCTTCTGTGGTCTTTCAAATAGATAAACTTAAAGAAAAGAGATTTGGAAGAAGAAAGTTTTAACTACCACAATAATAACGCTCCTTACAAAACACATTGTATTTCTTTGAATATTTATTTATATTTTTATTTAGAACTTGCCTTTATCTGAATTGCTGTTAAAAAGAAAAAGGAAAGGAGATGGAGAGAATGGGGAGGAATTTTTAAAAAGAAAATGGCATAGGAAATATTACATTCTTTTATGATCAGTCACTAAAATTTATCTGGGAGCAGAAGTCTATTTTTAACCAGCAACAAGACTGAAATAGATCATTTAAATACAGCAGACTGCCTTCCTGACTTATTGGTTCATTATTTGTGATAATAGTGGAAACTTTGAGTAGACTTTGTTCTACCACTGAACTTTATTTTCCATACGAAGGCTAGGAGACAAATAAATCACCACACAGCTGTTTGAAATCATGCTTCAACAAATATCCTTCAAGAAGGGCATTGTGTTAAATACTGGAGTGGGGTGAATAGATGGGAGTGTCTTGCTGAAGATTTATCACAATCTTTCTTTAAAGCTTAGGAGGGATATACATATATATGAATGTTCACAGCTTTATTCATAATAGCCCAAACTGGAAACAACCCATATATCCGTCAACTGGAAAATAGGTAAATGTGGTATGCCATACAATGGAATTCTGCAAAGCAGTAAAAACCAAACTACTGATATATTCAACAATGAAGATAAAGCTTTAAAACAATCACAGTGAGCACATGAAGCCAGACACAAAAGAGTACATATTGTGTGATTCCATTTACATGAACTTCTAATGCAGGAAAAACTTACTGATGGTGATGGCAATTAAATAGTGGGTATCACAAAAGAAGGGAGTCAGTGGACATTGACTAGAAAAGGGCCTGAGGCAGCTTTCTGTAGTGATGGAAATGTTCTGTATCTTGATCTGGGTGTTGATGACAAGAATGTATGCATTGGTAAAAAAGCACACACAAGTGTGTGCTTCAGATAAGTACATGATGTATGTATGTTATACCCAAAAAGGGTGGGGATGGGGGAGATTAAGAACAAGAGATTTAAAAAGAAAAAAGGAGATAAAGCAGTTACAGTCTATTTCAGTGCTACCCAATAGAAATATAATATATAAGGCCAGGTGTGGTGGCTCAAGCCTGTAATCCCAGCACTTTGGGAGGCCGAGGTGGGTGGATCACGAGGTCAAGAGATCAAGACCATCCTGGTCAACATGGTGAAACGCCGTCTCTACTAAAAATACACAAAATTAGCTGGGCATGGTGGTGCGTGCCTGTAATCCTAGATATTCAGGAGGCTGACGGAGGAGAATTGCTTGAACCCAGGAGGCGGAGGTTGCGGTGAGCCGAGTTTGCGCCATTGCACTCCAGCCTGAGTAACAAGAGCGAAAATCTGTGTCAAAAAAAAAAAAAATCCTATCACCCACCACCAAATGCTATTTTTTTCTTTTCTTTATGGTAATAATCAAATTCAATCTATTAAAAAGTGAAATGACTCCACACAATGTAGTAAATAAATTTTCACACCAATATTAGTTGGCATATAATTAACCCCTAGACCAATGCAATGCCAGTATTAAGTTAACCTAGGAAGGCCAAATAAAACTACATACATTGCCATAGAAATTAATAAAGGATGAAATACACTTGTCCCAGCAATATTTACCATAAAATTATTTCTGTAAGTAAATACATTTGTCCCAACAATGTTTGCAATAAAATCATTTTCTGTGAGTAAATATTTTCTCATTGATTTCCAATTTAAGAAAGTCAAAAGTGGGTTCCCAATGAGTTCAGTGCTTTGCTGAAGAAAGTGACTAGGAGTTAAAATTGGGAGTTGTGGAGTTTCTACCCCCTTGCCTATTGGAAAGACTCTTCTCATCTCTGTACCACCAATGGCTTCAATTCTCCTAACTTCCCACTATTTCCACAAGGTGCAGAAGGACTTATTCATGTAACCCTTCAATTTGGAAATACCTTTGGGCCTCCTACCATTTTCAAGAATTCAAGTTAAGTTCTTATACAGAATAATTCACATCCAGAAGGAATTTAAATTCTTCTGTGGAAGAAAAATTTAACTCCAAATTTCCAACTCCAAAAATGTATGAATTACCAATGCTAAATGTAGAAATAGTCATAAACGGCTATGGTCCAAGTTGGAAGAGAATAGTCTTACATGGAAGATTCGAGAGAAGCTTCTTGATATGGGAGCAAATGGGGGGAATGGGACCGGGGGGGTGATTTCAGCAGGGAGAGGCAGAAAAGAAACTCCAGGGATGGGAAGTCTGGAGGCCAAGGGAGGAAATGCCAAGCAGAGTTCGGTAATCATGGCCACACTAGTTCAGCTGGGACCTATATGAGAGCGTTTTTGTTGGAATTTTAAAGCCCTAAAAAGTTTTTGTCACATGCATTTAATAAGGAAATAAAACAATATACCACTTTTTCATGATAGTCAATGTCATGTTTCCATAAAAGCCAGGAGAAACAGAACATTTTTATGTGCAATGAATGACAGGAAAATTTCATGCTTTGATGCTGCCAGTGACGTTTTCCTGTCAAATGAATCAAAAACATGTCAGATGGTGGTAAGATAGACCGTGAAAATATTACTGCTATCCATTGTATTAACATGACCTTTCTTGTTTAGTCTGAAGACCCACCCAGCCAGTATTTTCAAAAATAAATTTTCCATCTTATGAAAGACTTTAAAAATTTTTTTGTGACAGAAAGTTATTCAGTAACTCCCATAAAATAAATTCCCATCTTAGTTGCCTATGATCATCTGACCAGACGTTTTGTTCTAAATGGCACCTTTTCCAATTCATTTAGCAGAGTTTTCTTTTATCCTTTTTATTTTCTTTCCTTTTTTTTTTTTTGAGATTGAATCTTGCCCTGTTGTCCAGGCTGGAGTGCAATGGTGCGATCTTGGCTAACTGCAACCTCTGCCTCCCAGGTTCAAGCGATTCTCCTGCCTCAGCCTCCCAAGTGGCTGAGATTACAGGTGCACGCCACCAAGCCTGGCTACTTTTTTTTTTTTTTTTTATTGCATTTTAGGTTTGGGGGTACATGTGCAGAACATGCAAGACAGTTGCATAGGTACACACATGGCAGTGTGTTTTGCTTTCTTTCTCCCCTTCACCCACATTTGGCATTTCTCCCCAGGCTATCCCTCCCCACCTCCCCCTCCCACTGGCCCTCCCCATTTCCCCCCAATAGACCCCAGTGTTTAGTACTCTTCTCTCTGTGTCCATGTGTTCTCATTTTTCATCACCCACCTATGAGTGAGAATATGCGGTGTTTTGTTTTCTGTTCTTGTGTCAGTTTGCTGAGGATGATGTTCTCCAGATTCATCCATGTCCCTTCTCCGTGCATCCAGCGAGAGCCTCAATCCTGGGTTGTTCTCACAGCGCCATCTTGAGTCGTCCTCCACCTGGCTCCTTTTTTGACTCTTTAGTAGAGACACAGGGTTTCACCATGTTGGCCAGGCTGGTCTTGAACTCCTGACCTCAAGTGATCCACCCACCTCAGGCTCCCAAAGTGCTGGGATTACAGGCATGAGCCACTGTACTCGGCCCATTTAGCAGTTTTCTGATAAGAAAAACATACTGAAAAATTCGTGTTGTAACTTTGGTTTCTGTGTGGTTTTCTATATTAGTTTATCTACTGCTGAGTAACAGATCATCTTCATCTTAATGGTTTAAAACAACATATATTTATTATTTCACAGATTTCAGTTGGCCAGAGTTTGAGAGCAACTTACCTGGATGGTTTTGGCTCAGGTTCTTTCATGAGGTTACAATCAAGACGTCAGCCATGGGAAGGTGGCTCATTCCCACAGTTGCTGGCAGGAGGCCTCACTTCCTTTCCTCAAGGGTCTCTCCATAGGACTATCATGATTGTCTTCCTGACATGTTAGGTAACTTCCTCCAAAGTGATTAATCCAAGAATAACAAGGAGGAAGTCACAATATCTTTTATTACCCAATCTCAGAAGTTACACACCATCTTTTCCACCATAGTCTACTGTTGACGTAGGTCAGTCCTATTCAGTGTAGAAGAGAACTATGTTAGGGCATAAAAAACTGGAGGCAAAGATGAAGACCATTTCAGAAGCTGACTACCACACTATCTTTAATTGTAATACTGTTTTTTACATTGTATTTTCAAATATAAGCATGAGTCAATGGTTAAAAGGAGTATGTTTTTTTTTTTTCAGGAACACACGCACTTTATCAAATACCATTGTAGAAAAATATGTGAGTATAAACTGCTTCATAAAGGAGCAGAATCGAGTAGGGCCGACAGCCCCAGGCAAGGTGCAAGGCCAGCAATGGATGGTGGAGTACGTGGGCACAAGTACTGGCCTTGGAGATCCTTTATCAACTGAAAAGTTGCTTGGAAGTTTATCACTGAGCTAGTGGTGAGAACCATGATGAGCGTAGTGGTCACAAAAATGCTGAAGATTAGGACGTAGATGTTCAGGCACTCGGCAGTGGAGGCATAGCAGGTTGCCAACCTCCAGTCTGGTTGCCAACCATCTTCCTGTCCCTAGACTTTACAGAGTAGGTGAGTGCTATGAAGCTTAAGCAGCACCAGTCGAACAGGGACCAGACGACATGGTCAGACATGGCAGTCTCGCTGCGGATGTGGATCATGGTGCATGTGGAGGATAGCTGTGGGATGCCCTCAGCAGGGCCACCTTCTTCTCCTCAAAAGGCGTAAGTTTTAATTTTAAGTTTGAAACTGTGAAAATGGCAAGACTCTGTCTAAAAAAAAAAAAAAAAGAAAAGAAAGCTTTCTTTACTATATAGTTGTAGACTGGCTTAGCCAAGAGGACCTGCTTGTCAGAATTTTCTATCTCAAGGTTGCATTGTTATTTTTCATTGTCGGGGGGAAAAAAAGGTATATATCTACTTTTGGGTCTTTGAAAACCCTGACTAAACAGAACCATTGAAACTTTTTGAGGCAGGTGCAGTGGCTCACACCTATAATTTCAGTGCTTTGGAAGGCTGAAGTGGAAGGATCACTTTGAGTCATTTCACTTCAGGATCACAGGAGTTCAAAACCAGCCTGACAACATAGTGAGACCCCATCTCTACAAAAAAAAAAAAAATCTTTTTGAAAAAACTAGTACTATGGCCAGGAGAAGGCCAGTGATGAGACCCCCACTACCAAAGTTCAATGCAGTTGTCTAGACAAAGAATAATGACAGCTTCCACCAAGACAAGTGGCTACTTACTCTGCTTTCCACCTGATTCATGCAAAGCACCAGTCAGAAAAGGGAAAGTATATATTGAATACTAAACAGTCAACATATACAAACTTCTCTATTTTTAGTAAGCAAACTCTTAGATAGCATTTACTAAGAGTTGGGTACTGTTTTAAGCACTTTATAAGCTCATTTAATCCTCACAATAAACTTATGAGGTTGGTACTATGAATATTTCCATTGGACAGATGGGAATATAGAGGCAGAGATATTTAAGTAACTTGCCCATGTTCACCCCCCTATTGAATGTCAAAGCCAAAATTTGAATCCAAGTAATTGAGCTCCAAATCCCTTGTCTTAACTGCAAAGCTATGCTTATTGAAGGGAGGAAACCATACCATTTGGGCAGTGATACTCAAGATAGACAGTTTAAGTCATCAATTGGAGATAAAAAAATATAAACAGGTGAGAAGAGATGTATTTTATAGCCCTTAATCATTCAGAGCTCTTAGATGGATTTGTGCAGCAGAATTTGATCTGTGTATTAAAAAATTGCTAAGCACAGCAAACCATCTATGAGGCTGTTTTATTAGCTCCACCTTGGTTGATGCCTAGGCCAAAAAAAAAAAAAAATTAAGAACATGTGCTTATGAAGACAAACTTCAGGTAAATATATGCAGAATATCTCTAGAAATCTACACTGTGGTTGGAAAACATAAATACATTTATCACCTTTTGCATTGGCATTCTGGAGAGGTGAAGTGAAAGACATTCCAGTTGTTCATTTCTATCTGTGGCAGCAATAAAAATGTTGCGGTTTCCAGACAACTGAAATCTGTTCAGCTAATCAAAAAATCGCACAGCTGGCCATGCCCACTGGCTCACACTTGTTAATTCCAGCACTTTGGGAGGCTGAGGTAGGAGGTTAGCTTGAGGCCAGGAGTTCATAGACCATCCTCGGCAACAAAGTGAGACCCTGTCTGTGAAAATAAATTAGAAAAAAGAAAGATCACACAGCTAAAAAATATTGATCAGTGATGGAGGGAAATTCACAATCGTTAACACTAGTGAAGCCAGAAGTCTGTTAGAAAAAAACATCAGATTGCTTTTTTTTTTTTTAAAGAGCAACTAATGCCAAATAAATTATCACCTAAGTTGTAAGAGAGAGATGACTAAAACTAATTTAAATAATTAATGTAAGGAACATTCCAGAACTTAGTTGATAATTATATTTGGTCTGCTCCTTGGAATTTTGCAAACATTTTACTTATGTGTATTTTGTTTTTAATTCTTATGACAACCCTATGAGTTTCAATTATTATCATCATCCTTCCATAGATGAATAAATTGAAGCACAGAGAATAAAAATCATTTAATTAATTAGCTTAGGAGAAGGAGATTCAAACCCTTCAGTCCCTTGACCATGCCCCTACCTACAGACAATAATTCTATACACTCAATTTCTGCATTTCTCTTTCTGATGGTTTTCTCTGACAATGACAATCTGGCTGGGAGTTAAGACCCCAGGGGCCGACCCTCTGGGCAACAGAGTGAGACTCTAAAAAAAAAAAGAAATATTTAATAAGCAAGTAAGTTCTTTTAGATGGAGTCTCACTCTGTTGCCCACAGGGCTGGACAACAGAGTGAGACTCCTTCTAAAAAAAAAAAATTTAATACCTGCACATGACTTCAAAAAAAACTGTTGCAGGATTTGTGGCAAATACTTGGGCAGTTCCTCAGAAAGTTCAACATAGAGTTACTATGTGACTCAGCAATTCTACCCAAGAGATATAAAAAGGTATATACCCAAGAAATATAAAAATAGACAAAAATTTGTATGCAGATTTCATAACAGTATTATTCATGACAGTCAAAGAGGAAAACAACCCAAATATCCATCAACTGATGAGCTGATACAAAAAAATGACATATCCATACAATGAAATACTATTCATCCATAAGAAGAAATCAGCAGTGATACCATGCTGCAACATGAACTATAAAAATACACTAAGTGAAAGATGCCACCACAAAAGACTGCATATTGTATGATTCCATTTATACGAGATATCAAGAACAGGCAAATCCACAGGACAGAAATTAGATTACGGATTGCCTATGAGCTGGGGAATTCCTTAAAGGGAGAATAGACAGTGACCGCTAAAGTATGTGGGACTTCTTTTGTGGTGATAAAAATGTTCTGAAATTAGATAGTGATGATGGTTGCACACCCCTCTGATTATACTAAAAAAACCCATTGAATTGTGCACTTTAAATGGGTGACTTTTTTTTTAAGACAGCAAAGTTAGGATGACTTTTATGGTATATAAATTATATCCCAGTGAAACTGTTATTTTTAAAAATGTGCTAACTTTTTGTTTAATATTATAACTAAAGAGCAGAGAGGAACTTGCTCTTGAAGCTAAGCTGAAGTGGTTAATTGAGTTACAATTGGATGTCATTCTGCCAATCTTTACCGTCCTAAGAGAGGTGATATTAGGGGTTGGAGCAAACATCTCTTTAAAGCCAGTGTCTGGTTGAGAGAATAATCTCCACTTCCCTAATGCCTTCTCCTCAAAAAAGGTGGAGGATCTCACAGCGGAGGTTTAAGGATTATTTAAGAAAAGGAATGAAACTGGCCAGGCACAGTGGCTCACGCTTGTGATTCCAGCACTTGGGAGGCCGAAGCAGGCGGATCACCTGAGGTTGGGAGTTCAAGACCAGCCTGCCATCAACATGGCAAAACCCTGTCTCTACTAAAAACACAAAAACTTACCTGGGCGTGGTGGTGGGTGCCTGTAATCCCAGCTACTTGGGAGACTGAGGCAGGAGAATCGCTTGAACCTGGGAGATGGGGATTTCAGTAATCAAGTTCACACCATTGCACTCCAGCCTGGGCTACAAGAGAGCAACTCCATCTCAAAAAAAAAAAAAAAGAAAAAGAAAAGGATTGAAACCAATGTGATAGTATCCAAATGCTGTTTGTTATGATTTTCTGTTGAGTAGTTCTCAACCTTGTCAGCATGTTGGAATCATCTGGGGAGTTTCAATAATACCAATGCCTGGGCCCCACCTCCAGAGATTCTGACTTACCTGTTCTGTGGTGTGGCCTGGGGACTGGAATTTTAGAAGCTCCCCAAGTGATTCTGGTGTGCAGGCAAAGTTAGGGGGCACTGCCATGGAGAAAAAGGAGCAGCAGACTACTTAACTAATTACTGGTTCCTCGGAGTTCTGAAATTTCCACTTATTGTTCATTTTGAAAAGCTTGAAATTAGGCTTAGCCCAAACAAGTGATGTCGACAAATACCTAGAACAGCTAAATGATTCTTAGCAGTAGTTATTATTTTGGTTACTATCTTCATTACTAACTTTTGGCTTCTAAGAGCCATGTTGTTAAATTTGACAAAAGTAAACAATCACATAGAAATAACTATAAAGGCAAAAATAATCTATATCTGGTCAACTGAACTTTAGTCAAAATGAGCAGTTCAAATCCTTCGTTATTGACTGAAATTGCTGATGTACCTTAAGAACACTGTAGTAAAAAAAGACTGTAAATTTTTTTTGTTTTTTTTGAGACAGAGTTTTGCTCTTGTTACCCATGCTGGAGTGCAATGGCATGATCTTGGCTCACTGCAACCTCCGCCTCCTGGGTTCAGGCAATTCTCCTGCCTCAGCCTCCTGAGTGGCTGGGATTACAGGCGTGTGCCACCATGCCCAGCTAATTTTTTGTATTTTTAGTAGAGACGGGGTTTCACCATGTTGACCAGGATGGTCTCGATCTCTTGACCTTGTGATCCACCCGCCTCGGCCTCCCAAAGTGCTGGGATTACAGGCTTGAGCCACCGCGCCCGGCCCAAAGACTGTAAAATTTTTAAGAATGCAACCAGCTTTCTGAGAAAGTCACAGTTAAATCGTTTATTTCAAAAGAATGAGTAATATTGTTTATTGCTTTTTCTTCAGAAGACTCCAAAGTGCTTGAGAACCACAGACCAATGCTCCTGAAATCAAACCTTCAGAAACACTTCTAGTGGCTCATCGTTTCCATCAACAGTAAATTATGCCCAAGGCCAAAGCCTCTTATGGTTCCTTTGACTTATTTCAACGTATTTTTAAATCAAAATTTTACATGCAAATGTGAACATTTAGGTATGTATATTTCAACAAAATATTTTAATTATACATAAGAATAATTTTTGGGTTTTTTTGAGACAGAGTTTTGCTCTTATTGCTCAGTCTGGAATGTAATGGCACAATCTCAGCTCACTGCAACCTCCCTTTCCCAGGTTCAAGCAATTCTCCTGCCTCAGACTCCCAAGTAGCTGGGATTACAGGCATGTGCCACCACACCTGGCTAATTTTGTATTTTTAGTAGAGAAGCTCCCTAAGTGCTTCACCAAGTTGGCTAGGTTGGTCTCAAACTCCTGACGTCAGGTGATCTGCTCTCTATGAATAATTTTTAAAGGTCAAATAGTTCCATAAACCTGATAGTGAAAAATAGCAATCCACTATCTATATCTTTCCCCATTTTTCCTTTCCATTCCCCAGAAGTACCCTGTTTAAGCATTTTTAGCTGTATTTTTTTTTGTATTTACTACCATATTTCTAAATACCAGTGTATGTGGCCATTTTAAAACTTTTTTCAAAATTAAGCATTAGCTATTATCTTTTCCAAATGGAAATTGAGAATCTATTTTTCCTACATGCCCATCTTCCTTTCCTCACCTTCACTTCCTCTCATCCCATTTTTCCAATATATTTAAGTAACAATTTGTGGTTCGCTTAATATCCATGGTTATTTTATTATGAACTATGTAACTATTATTACTGAGCCACAGAGAAAATTGTGATTGTATCTCGTTTCTGTCCAACTTTTTGTTCGTGCAACCTTTGAACATAAAATTGCCTTGATTTTTTGTTTAATATTTCATATACTTAGCATTAATTCATTCTCAAAATATTTGTAAGAACCATAAAACTTTTCCCAATGGCTATAAACACATAGAAGTTTATCAACGCAATTGTTTGATATTTTTCCTGGAGCCCTTTGTTCTGTCCTAGCCTAGGCTGATTGCTTTCTAGGTGGGCTACACAGTTCTCTTGACATCATTTTACTAAAATTCAAGGAATTCCCTTTTCCTATTTCTTGGGTGTTGAAACCTAGTTTTCTCCTTCTTGGTTTATACCTGTATTTTGTGAGGCAAACCTTCCACTGGAAGATAAATTATTTAAGACCTAGTATTTCTAACTGGTCTTAAATATATTTATTCTATATTTATTCTTGAGTGGTTTGGCTATAGAATTCTATGTTGAAAATAAATTTAACTTACATTTTAGAAGACATTGCTCAAGGTCTTCTGGATTTCAATGCTTTTGTTGAGAAGTTTTAGAATGCTTTATTTCAATTGTAGTAAACTTTCAGGATGATGTATCTCGATAGATTTCATTGTAATATATTTTTCCAGGCACTCATTAACTCTTGCAGTCTGGAAATCCATGTCTTTAATTTGGAGAAATTTTGTCTGTACTCTTTGAAAAAATTATCTCCTCTATTTGCTCTGTTTTCTCTTTCCACAACTCTTATTTGCTGGATGTTGAACTTCCTGGACTAGATGCAATAAGTTTCTTATTTTTTCTTCTATGTTCCATATCTTTTATTTTGGTCTGTTTTCTAGGTGACATTGTCTGTTGTAATATCCAACCTTTCTATTGCAAAGGGGCCACAGGCCCCATGCAAGTTTGAAATCCAACAGGGCAGTCATTAAACCTTAAAGTTCTTAAATGATTTCCTTTGACTCCATGTTTCACATTCAGGTCACGCTGATGCAAGAGCTGGGCTCCCATAGCTTTGGGAAGCTCCACTTCTGTGGTTTAGCAGGATACAGCTCCCCTCCCAGCTGCTTTCATGGGCTGGTGTTATGTGTCTGTGGCTTTTCCAGGTGCACTGTGCAAGTTGTTGGTGGATCTACCATTCTGGGGACTGTAGGATGGTGGCCTTCTTCTTACAGCTACACTAGGCAGTGCCCTAGTGGAGACTCTATGTGGGGGTTCCCACCCCGCATTTCCCTTCTGCACTACCCTAGCAGAGGTTCTCCATAAGGGCTCCACCCCTGCAGCACATCTCTGCCTAGACATCCGGGCCTATCCGTACATCCTCTGAAATCTAGGAGGTTCCCAAATCTTAAATCTTGATCTGTGCACCTGCAGGCCCAATACCACATGTAAGCCACAAAGGCTTGGAATTTGCACCCTTTGAAGCAACAGCCTGAGCTGTACATTCACTCTTTTTAGCCACAGCTGGAGCTGAAGCACCTGGGATGCACAGCATCATGTTGCATAGAGCAGAGGTGCTTCATAGAGAAGGGGAGCCCTGGGCCCAGCCCACGAAATCATTTTTGCCTCCTAGATTTCCAGGCGTGTTATGGGAAGGGCTGTCATGAAGGTCTCTGACATGCCCTGGAGACATTTTCCCCATTGTCCTGGTGATTAATATTTTGATCCTCTTTACTTAGGCAAATTTCTGCAGCAGGCTTGAATTTCTCCACAGAAAATGGGGTTTTCTTTTACATTGCATAACCAGGCTGCAAATTTTCCAAACTTTTATGCTCTTCCTCTTGAACACTTTGTTGCTTAGAGATTTCTTCTGCCAGATACCCTAAATCATCTCTCTCAAATTTAAAGTTAGACAGATCTCTAGGGCAAGGGCAAAATGCTGCCAGTCTCTTTGCTTAACAAGAGTCAAGCAAAGTTCCTCATTTCTACCTGAAAAAATGAGGTACAAACAAGTTATTCATTTCTACCTGAAACCACCTCTGCCTGGAATGTATTGTCCATGTCACTATCAGTATTTTGGTCAGAGCCATTCAACAAATCTCCAGGAAGTTCCATATTTCCGACATTTTCTTGCCTTCTTCTGAGCCCTCCAAACTCTTCCAACCTCTGCCTGTTACCCAGTTCCAAGGTCACCTTCACATTTTCCGGTATCCTTATAGCAGCACCCCACTCCTGGTACCAATTTAATGTATTAGTATATTTTCATATTGCTATGAAGAAATATCTGAGACTGGGTCATTTATAAAGAAAAAGAGGTTTAATGGATTCAGAATTTTACATGGCTGAGGAGGCCACAAAACCATAGCGGAAGGCAAAGGAGGGGCAAAGGCACATCTTCCATGGTGACAGGCAAGAGCGCATGTGTAGGGGAACTTCCCTTTATAAAACAATTATATCTCATGAGATTTATTCACTATCATGAGAACAGCATGAAAAAAACCCATCCCCATGATTTGATTATCTCCCACCAGGTCCCTCCCATGACATGTAGGGATTACAGGAGCTATACAGTTCAAGATAAGATTTGGGTGGGGACACAGCCAACTCATATCACTCCCCACATTGATCTCTGGATTCAGTGCCATTCCAAAAAAAGACCCAGCAGGATTTTACATAGAATTTGACAAGCTGATTGTAAAATTCAAATGAAAATGCAAAGGTCCTACAACAGCTGAAATAACTTTGAGAAAGAAGAACAAAGCTGAAGGTCTAACACCACTTAATTTCAAAAGTAATAAAGCTATGGAAATCAGGACATGGTGGTATTGGCATGAAGAGAGACAAATACAGAATGGAACAGGATAGAAAGAAGAGAAATAGACGCATATGTATATGAATAACTGATTTCCCCAAAGTACGCAAAGGCAATTCAGTGGAGAAATTATATTCTTTTCAACAAATGCCTCTATGGGAACAATTGGGCATCCATATGCAAAAAACAAAAACAAAACAAAACATTTTTAAAAAAACAGCTTTTGGCCAGGCACAGTGGCTTTCATCTGGAATCTCAGTACTTTAGGAGGCTGAGGTGGAGGATTGCTTGAGGCTGGGAACTTGAGACTAGCCCTGGGTAACATAGTAAGATCCCAGCTCTAAGAAAAAAACCTGAGTGTGGTGGTACCAACTGGTAGTTCTAACTACTCAGGAGGCTGAAGTTGGAGGATCACTTAGCCCAGGAGTTGGAGGCTGCATTGAGTTAGGATTGTATCACTGTACTTCAACCTGGGTGACAAAGCCAGATTCTGTCTCTAAAAAATAAATAAATAATAAAAACTTCAATTAATGGGTTATACCCTATATAAAAATTAACTCAAAATGGATGATGGACTTAAATGTAAAACTACAAAACTATAACACTTCCAGGAGAAAACATAAGAGAAAATTTTTGTGAGTTTTGACTAGGCAAAGATTTGTTAAACATAATGTCAAAAGCACAATCTATAAAAGAATAAATTGATAAAGGCTGGGTGCAGTGACTCATGCCTGTAATCCTAGCACTTTGGGAGGCTGAGGCAGGCAGATCATGTGAGGTCAGGAGTTCAAGACCAGCCTGGCCAACACAGTGAAACCCCATCTATACTAAAAATGCGAAAATTAGCTGGGCATGGTGGCGCATGCCCATAATCCCAACTACTTGGGAGGCTGATGCAAGAGGATTGCTTGAAATCTAGAGGCCAAGGTTGCAGTGAGTTGAGATCATACCACTGCACTACAGCTTGGGCAACAGAGTGAGAATTCATTAAAAAAAAAAAAAAAAAAAAGGAAGCAGAAGGAGAAGAAGAAGAGAAGGAAAAGAAATAATTGATAAATTGCACTTCAATAACATTTAAAATGTCTACTCTTCAAAAGACATTGTTAAGAGAATAGAAAGCCAAGCCACAGACTCAGAGAAAAAAAAATTTTATATATATATATATAATTTTTTTTTTTTTTCTGAGACGGAGTTACACTCTTGTTACCCAAGCTGGAGTGCAATGGTGCAATCTCGGCTCACGGCAACCTCCACCTCCTGGGTCCAGGCAATTCTCCTGCCTCAGCCTCCTGAGTAGCTGGGATTACAGGCACGCGCCACCATGCCCAGCTAATTTTTTGTATTTTTAGTAGAGACGACGGGGTTTCACCATGTTGACCAGGATGGTCTCGATATCTTGACCTCGTGATCCACCTGCCTCGGCCTCCCAAAGTGCTGGGATTACAGGCATGAGCCACCGTGCCCGGCCCAAAAATATATGTATATATATATGTATTTTTTTTTTTTTTTGAGACGGAGTTTCACTCTTGTTACCCAGGCTGGAGTGCAATGGCACGATCTCTGCTCACCGCAATCTCCGCCTCCTGGGTTCAGGCAATTCTCCTGGCTCAGCCTCCCAAGCAACTGGGATTACAGGCACGCGCCACCGTGCCCAGCTAATTTTTTGTAATTTTAGTAGAGACGGGGTTTCACCATGTTGACCAGGATGGTCTCGATCTGTTGACCTTGTAATCCACCCGCCTCGGCCTCCCAAAGTGCTGGGATTACAAAATATATGTATATTTTTAAAGATAGGGTTTCACCATATTGGTCAGGCTGGTCTTGAACTCCTGACCTCAGGCGATCCGCCCACCTCAGCCTCCCAAAGTGCTGGGATTACAGGCGTGAGCCACTGTGCCTGGCTGAAAATATTTTCAAAGCAAAATTATGATGATGAACTGTATCTAAATTATATCAAGAACTCTCAAATGCCAGTAATAGAAATATAAACAACCCAGTTAAAATATGGGCAAAATATCTAAATATATATTTCACTGAAGAAGACATATGGATGAAAAGATGCTCAACATCATTAGTCATTAGGAAAATATAAACCAAAATCAGAATGAGATACCATTGCAGACTTATTAAAATAAGTAAAATTTAAAAGACTATACCAACTGTTGTCAAGGATGTTTCTACACTGCTCAACAATAACCACTTTGAAAACCAATTTGGGAATTTCTTAAAAGTTAAACATATACATATCACACAATCCTGCCATTTCAATCCTAAGTAGTTACCCAAGGGAAGTAAAAGCACATATCCACACAAAGACTTGTTCGCAAATATACATAGGAAGTTTATGTAATAGCCCCAAACAGGAAACAATGCAAATATTCCTCAAGTAATGGGATAAACAGTGTGGTATGTCCATACAAAAAATAGTATTCCACAATAAAGAATGGACTATTGATACCTTCTACAACAAAATGCTAAAATAAGTATGCTGAATGAAAGAAGCCAGACATAAAAGATTACAAACTGTACAATTTCATTTTTGTGAAATTCTAGGATGGAAACTAATACATAATGACCAGAAAGCAGATCAGTGGGTGCCTGGGAAAGGGTATGGGGTGGGAAGCATCTGAAGGAGATATTACAAAGGGGCACAAGGAAACTTTTAGGGATTATATGTAAGTTCATTATCTTGATTTAAATGCTGGTGGTGGATATACATATATGAGTGTGTGTGTGTGTGTGTGTATACATATACATGTACATGTATGTATATATATGTATACACACACACAGACACATGCATACACTTATAAAACTGTGCACTTTAAATGTGTGTAGTTTGAATGTCAAGTGTACCTCAATAAATTCATTAAAAATTCAAGTATAGGCCGGGCAAGATGGCTCACGCCTGTAATCCCAGCATTTTGGGAGGCCAAGGCAGGCAAATCATGAGGTCAGGAGTTTGAGACCAGCCTGACCAACGTAGTAAAACCTCATGTCTACTAAAAATACAAAAATTAGTTAGGCATGGTGGTGCACACCTGTAATCCCAGCTACTCAGGAGGCTGAGGCAGGAGAATCCCTTGAACCCAGGAGGCAGAGGTTGCAGTGGGCCAAGATCACACCATTGCACTCCAGCCTGAGGGATACAGTAAGACTTCATCTCAAACAAAACAAAAGAAAACAATTCAAGTACAGTTGTTGTGGTGAAATTTTAGAATGCAGCAAAATAAATAGATTTGGTTCATCTGCCGTGTTTAACTAAAAATTGAATCACATAACTTTTTGAATAATTCTGTTTTCATTTCAAAAACCACTCCTTTTTTCCCTTTTGCTTTTATGTTTGCTCTCTTTCCCTCTATTGCTCATTAATACTTCCATTCATTTATGCCCCATCTTGTTCATTTATGCCCCATCTTGTTCTCCAATCCAACTAAGTTCTGGGTTGGGTAGTAGGGATCGGCCCCAATGCAATAAATTACCAAGAGGGCTTGGAATGTTATTGCCCAAGGATTAATTTGTGAGTTGAATCAGAAACAGATCTGTCCCTGAAGCAAGAAAGTAGACTAAGCAATCGTTCAGGTTCTTTTCTTTTTGATATATTCATTAAATAGACATATTATAAATGGTTATTTTTAAAAATGAAGGAGGCAGATAAATTAGACAGTGGGTCTTGGCGTTTACAGCTCATATACACTCCTCCCCCTCCCCCCACCCCCACCTTTTTATGTAAGTCTTAGTGATAACTGAGACAGTCCTTGACTCTACAGGTTCCTGGGAGGGGTGGGGTGAGCATAAATCATGTGCACATGTAAGGTATGCAAAAGACATGTGCACGCCAGAGGCACACCTATACCATGATTGGTAGATCTAGATTGAAATTATTTTCTCCAGAATTGCTTTGATCATGCATTACTTCTTTTAATAAAAGGAGCCTCTGATTTTACCAGTTATATTTTACTTACAACCCCGGTAAGCAAATAATGTTTTTAATTTAAAATGTGTTCGTTCTCACTGTGAATGGGAGAGTCCCAAAATGTTCAGAAATTTTTCTTGAGTATAATTCCAAAACGGAAACCCCCAGATCACAAAGTTATTTAAATAGAAATCAGAAGGCGGCTGGGCGCGGTGGCTCACGTCTGTAATCCCAGCACTTTGGGAGGCTGAGGCGGGTGGATCACGAGGTCAAGAGATCGAGATCATCCTGGTCAACATGTCTCTACTAAAAATAAAATTTAAAAAAAAATTAGTTGGGCATGGTGGCGTGTGCCTGTAATCCCAGCACTCTGGGAGGCTGAGGTAGGCAGATCACTTGAGGTCAGGAGCTTGAGACCAGCCTGGCCAACACGATGAAACCCCATCTCTACTGAAAATATAAAAATTAGCCAGGTATAGTAGCAGGTGCCTGTAATCCTAGCTATGTGGGAGGCTGAGGCAGGAGAATCTCTTGAACCCAGGAGGTGGAGGCTGTAGTGAGCAGAGACTGCACCACTGTACTCAAGCCTGGGTGACAGAGCAAGACTGTCTCAAAAAAAAAAAAAAAAAAAAGGGCTACTTTAGTATTCTAATTACAATGACTTTGAGTCTCTGCCTATCCACTGAAGTACCTAATCTCTGCTTATACGCCCGGTATTTTCTCACAGTTCTCCAGGTATTGTCTCACATGCTGGGGACAAAATTACTCTCACTCTTCTGCTCCTGCTTCTCATCAGTTTCCTTGACTGTCTGAGTTCTCCAAGAAGAGTTCATGGCCAAGAAGAGTCCTTTCTCTCAAATTCCCTACTACCTCCCGGGTTGCCAGAGCTATGTGGGTTCTCAAGTCAAGGTGGGAGAATGCCCTCCCCATACTGTCAGCTGAGTGCATTAAAGTCTCATAAAGCTGATCATGAAAACAGGCTGAGCCATAAGCTGCCTATAGTATGAAGATGCTTTATCACTGTCATATGAAGCAATTTAGTAATATGGAATCTTTCACATCTCCATTTCAAAAGAAGCTTTTTGCTTTACATTTAAAAAAATGGAATTGGCATAATTTATCACTTTCTTCTTTTTGTATTCTTTGGATTTGCATTTTATTTTATTTTTTGAGATGGTGTCTTGCTCTGTCACTCAGGCTGGAGTACAATGGCGCAATCTCGGCTCAGTGCAACCTCCATCTTCCAGGTTCAAGCGATTCTCCCTGCCTCAGCCTCCCAAGTAGCTGGTATTACAGGCGCTGGTCACCGAGTCTGGCTAATTTTTTTATTTTTAGTAGGGACGGGGTTTAACCATGTTGGCCAGGCTGGTCTTGAACTCCTGACCTCAGGTGATCTGCCTGCCTTGGCCTCCCAAAGTGCTGGGATTACAGGCATGAGCCTCTGTGTCCAGCCTTTTATTTTATTTTTTGGTGTCAACATTTTACCGATTTAAGTGAAGTATAGAACCCTGACCTCCTTTTAATTCCCTTTACCCACCTTCTTTGACAATACATTGTCTAAAATGTTTCCTCTACGTATTTTGAGACTCGCATTAGCCAATGTTATAATTTTTGCTTCAACAATCAAACATAATTTAGAAAACTCAAGAAGAGAAGTCTGTTGTGCTTATCTACATTTTTACTCTTTCTGTTGTTCCTTTTTCCTTCCTGATGTTTCATGATTGTCTCTAATTGTTTCTGTTTAAAGAGTTCCTTTAGACATTTTTTTAGGATTGGTCTGCTGGTGACAGATTCTTTTAGTTTTTCTTAATATGAGAATGTTTTGGCCAGGCGCGGTGGCTCAAGCCTGTAATCCCTGCACTTTGGGAGGCCGAGGCGGGTGGATCACAAGGTCAAGAGATCGAGACCATCCTGGTCAACATGGTGAAACCCCGTCTCTACTAAAAAAAATACCAAAAATTAGCTGGGCATGGTGGCACGTGCCTGTAATCCCAGCTACTCAGGAGGCTGAGGCAGGAGAATTGCCTGAACCCAGGAGGCGGAGGTTGCCGTGAGCCGAGATCGCGCCCTTGCACTCCAGCCTGGGTAACAAGCGCGAAACTCCGTCTCAAAAAAAAAAAAGGGAATGTTTTGATTTCACCTTCATTCCTGAAGGCTATTTTTGCCCATATGTAAAATTATGGGTTCAGGGTTCCCTCCCTCCTTCCTTTCTCTTTCTTTCTTTCCTCTCTTTTTCTTTCGACAGGTTCTCACTCTGTTGCCCAGGCTGGAGTGCAGTGGTGTGATCTTGGCTCATTGCAATCTCCGCCTCCCAGGTTCAAGCTATTCTCCTACCCCAGTCTCCCAAGTAGTTGGGATTATAGGCGCGCACCACCACGCCAAGCTAATTTTTGTATTTTTAGTAGAGGTAGGGTTTCACCATGTTTGCCAGACTGATCTTGAATTCCTGACCCCACGTGATCCACCTGCCTTGGCCTCCCAAAGTGCTGGGATTACAGGAGTGAGCCACCGCCCCCAGCCCACAGTTCTTTTCTTTAAACACTTCAAAAATCGTGTGACACTTCCTTTTGGCCTGCATGGTTTTGGATGAGAAGTCTGATGTTTGAATTGTTTTTTTCCTACAGGTAAATCATCATTTCTCTCTTATTGCTTTCAGCTTTTTCACTGTTTTTAGTTGTCCAGAGTTTGATTATAATGTGTCTTGGTTATATTTCTTTGTTGTTGTTGTTTTCTGCTGAAGGCTCAATTACCCTGTGAAATCTATAGGTTTATGCCTGATGCCAAATTTAGGAAAACTTTGTTGAACACTTTTTCAATCCCACACTCTCACTCCTCTCTGATAATACAAATGATTGGTTTTTGTTAAGGTTCCACAGGTTCCTGAGGTTCTGTGATTTTTTTCTTCAGTGTATTTTCTTCGCGTTGTTGAAGCTGGTTATATTTTATTGATCTAACTTCAAATTTACTGATTTATTCTTTTGTCTTATTTAGTCTATTATTGAGCACATCCTGTGAGTTTAATATTTTATTGTATCTTTTCAGTTAAAGGTTTTATTTGGCTTTTCTTTATATATTCTATTTCTTCACCAAAGCTTTCTACTTTTCATTTGTTTCAAGCATGTTCAGAATTTAAAATCTTTGTCAGACAGTTCAAATGTCTGGGCCATTTCAGTGTTGCCATCTGTGGACTGTCTTTTTCTCATTCTAGTTAAGATCTTCTTGGTTCTTGAGATAAAGAATGATTTAAAAAATGTAATCCTGGATACTTTGGTTATTATGTTATGAGACTCTGGATCTCATTTATATCTTTGGTTTTAGCAGGTTTCCTCTGATACTGCACCAGTCGGGGGAAGGTTGATGCTGCCTTGTTACTACCAAGTGGAAGTGAAAATCCAGGCTCTTCACATGGCCTCCCCTGAAAACGTGGAGAATGGAGGGGCTTGTTACCACATGATTAGGATGACAATCCTGCATACCCCACCTGGTCTTCTCTGACACCATCATGGCGTTGGGAAGGAAGACAGGAGGAATACCTCATGTCAGCTGGGTGGGGGTGGAAGTCCAGGCCCCTTAAGTCTAGGACTCTAAGTTGCTGACAAGGGTGGGGATGGGGACCTCAATTTTTCCTGTGGCATCTGGCTACAGTAGGACCATTATTGTCTAAGTTTTCTCTCTTGCTAGGTTTCTTCTGTTCTGTCCCTCGGTGAGAAATAACAGGCTTTTTTCTTGGGCATTTTTGTTTATGTCTGTCGGCATTTCTGGTTGCCAGCTTCTCCAGTACTCAGGTAAGGATACAAGGAGGGGAAAAATCCAGGGCAAACAATGCATGGCATTTTTGGGGTTCTGAGGTTCCAAGTGATTATATTTTCTTTCCTCCATCTTTCAGAGTCACCTTTTATTTGTCTTATATATAGTGTTCAGGGTTTTTAGGTATACTTACTGGGAGGAATGAGAAGTGTGTATTTCATCTTGTCCACAACTGGAAGTCTCTTTAGTTTTTCATACCTGAAAGACCCAGTCGTGAGTCATATTGCCCGTTTTGAAACCCCAGTAGTGCCATCCTGGGTGATTCTTTGTCTCTGTTTTCTCATCTGTAAAATAGTGATTATATTAGCACTTACCTTATGGGGTTGTAGTGATAATTAAATGAATATCACTACATATAGGCAGGCAATATTCACATGCATGTATAGTCTCTTCTAATTGGGAAGCTGAAGCGAGACTGTGGCTTGAGTCCAGGAGTCTGAGGCTGCAGTGAGCCATGATTGTGCCACTGCTCTCCAGCCTTGGTGACAGAGTGAGACCCTGTCTCAAAAAATAAAATAAAAATAAAACCGTATATCATCAATCATCATTACTCCTAAATCATCCATACTCTCTCTCTATATATAGATGATTTATCTATTAGAGAGAGAGAGAGAGAGAGACAGAGAGAGTTCAGCCTAATGGCTGGCACATAGTAAGTGCTTGATAATGCATTGAGCTTTTTTTTTTTTGAGACGGAGTTTCACTCTTGTTACCCAGGCTGGAGTGCAATAGCACGATCTCGGCTCCCCACAACCTCCTCCTCCTGGGTTCAGGCAATTTTCCTGCCTCAGCCTCCTGAGTAGCCGGGACTACAGGCACGCGCCACCATGCCCAGCTAATTTTTTTATTTTTAGTAGAGATGGGGTTTCACCATGTTGTCCGGGATGGTCTCGATCTCTTGACCTCGTGATCCACCTGCCTCGGCCTCCCAAAGTGCTGGGATTACAGGTGTGAGCCACTGCGCCCGGCCAGCATTGAGCTATTATTATTTACAACATAGCATAACCTAGATATATACTGGACAGATTGTACCAACCCATGGATTAGCAGGCTGTCACTTTTTGTTTCAAGGTTTTGTACTATTTAATATATTCCAGAAGAGAGTATCTTAAGTCCACTCCTGAATAACCCACAACTTGAACCCAACCTTTTGTGTTGTTTGCCATCTCATGTCTCAGTCCTTAGCACCAAAATAGGACCTTTCCTGCTGGTCACCATTTCCCATGTTATAACTGCCCCAGGTAGTTGCAGCCCCTGTCTCAAAAAATGAAATAAAAATAAAACCGTATGTCATCGATCATCATTACTCCTAAGTCATCCATACTATAAAATGCTGCTTATTTTGTATCAGCGAACACTCTTCACTTTATTGTTGTCTTTCGCTTTATGGGTTGTTAGAGCTGTACTGTTTTCCCTAATAACCTATAAAGTGAAAGACAAAAATTATGACTATAATTTTTCAAACAGCAATGTTTTTTCTTGCCCCTATATTACTAGAAACAGTCCACAACAAGAGAGTATTAAAAATATCTTTAAAATTTTTTATTTTAGGTTTGGGAGTATATGTAAAGGTTTGTTACATAGATAAACACATGTGATGGGGTTTGTTGTAGGTATTATCACATCACCCAACTTATTAAGCTCAGTATCCAATAGTTATCTTTTCTGCTCCTCTTCCTCCCCTCACCCACCCACCTCAAGTAGACCTTAGTGTCTGTTGAAAAACATCTTTTAAATTTTTGTGTGTGTGTCCTTCCACCACAAATTTATTTTATTTTTATTAATTTTTTTATAGAGACAGGGTTTCACCATGTTGGCTAGGCTGGTCTCGAGCTCCTGACCTCAGGTGATCCACATGTCTCGGCCTCCCAAAGTGCTGGAATTATAAGTGTGAGCCACTGCACCCGGCCTCCACCATGAATTTAAACATCTTAAGGTAACTTCTAATTAATAACATCCTAAAGCCTTAATTAATAAATAGATGTAAACATCTTAAGATCTAACTAGCAAACAATTAATTATGTAAGTCTATATAACTTATCCTCCAAACAAAGATACATTTTCTTTTCATGTGTCCAAGAAGTCTTTACAAAGCATGACAAATATAATAGTCCACATAAAATAATCAGGCTGGGCATGGTGGCTCATGCCTATAATCCCAGCACTTCGGGAGGCCAAGGCAGGAGGATCACTTGAACTCAGGAGTTTGTGACCTGCCTGGGCAACCTGGCAAAACCCCATCTCTACAAAAAATACAAAAATTAGTCAGGTGTGGTGGCATGCTTCTGTAGTCCCAGCTACTGAGGTGGGAGAATTACCTGAGTCTGGCAGGTCAAGATGGCAGTGAGCCATGATCATGCCATTGCACTCCAGCCTGGGCAGCAAAGACTTTATCTCAATAAATAAATAAATAAATTAAAAAATAGAAATATTATAGGCAACATTAGTCTTTGGCAACATTATTTTATGCCAAATGAAATTAAATGAGAAATTAGAAACAAAACTGTACCAAAAAATCAAAAAACAATTTTTGGATCAAAAAGGAAATTGAAATGAGGAAATACATAGTAGAATATTTGAAATACATGTAAAGCAATGCTTGGAAGAAAATGCAAAGTCATAATGTTCAAATCAAGACATTATAAAAACAGAAGAAAATAAGTTAGTGAAGTAAAAATAAGTGATTTAATAAGGATAAAAGCAGAAATTTAAAACTTTGAAAAAATGATATATCTGATAAATATATCTAAAGTTCAATTCTTAAAAAAACAAATTTATTTAATATTATTAAGGGAAAACAGTAGAATCATAAACATGCAAAATAAAAATTTATATGAGGGAATTAAATATAGGTATGTGAAAAATTTAAAGATTCAGAAGAGACAACCTGGTTTATTAGTATAAAAGTAAATTTGACAACCTGGATCAAAATGAGGAATTACAAAAACTGACCTCACAATGGATAAAAAATGTAAACAGACTGATTACCATTGAAAAAATGGGGGGTAAACATTCAAGAGCTTCTCCCCCAAAAGTATCCTGACACAGCCATTTTCACTGAAGACTTACCATACCTTTAACTAATCATTGTGGAACACAATGAGGATGCCTACTTGTTATCACTGTCATTCAAAATAGTATTGGAAGTCATAGCTAGAGCAATCAGACAAGGGAAATAAATAAAGGGCATTCAAATTGGAAAGGAAGAAGTCAAATTATCCTTGTCTGCAGATGATATATGTCTGCAGATGATATATTATGTTTGGAAAAACCTAAAGACTCCATGAGAAACTATTAGAACTGATAAACAAATTCAATAAAGTTGCAGGATACAAAATCAACATACAACAGTCAGTAGCATTTTTTGTTTTTTTTGAGACAGTCTCACTTTGTTGCCCAGGCTGGAGTGCAGTGGCTTGATCTTGGCTCACTGCTACCTTCACCTCCCAGGTTCAAGTGATTCTTGTGCCTCAGCCTCCCAAGTAGCTGGGATTACAGGTGTATGCCACCACTCCCAGCTAGTTTTTGTATTTTTAATGGAAATGGGTTTCACCATGTTGGCCAGGCTGATCTTGAACTCCTAGCTTCAAGTGATCCACCCACAGTGGCCTGGAAATAATTATGCTAAGTGAAATAAGTCAGGCAGAGAGAGACAAACATCGCTTATTCTCACTTATTTGTGAGATCTAAAAATCAAGATAGTTGGACTCATGGACATAAAGTGTAGAAGAATGGTTACCAGATGCTGGGAATGGTAGTGGGGAGCTGAGGGGATGGTTAATGGGTACAAAAAATAGAAAGAATGAATAAGACCTGTTATCTGATAGCATAACATAACCTGTATGTACATAATTAAGGGACCAATTACCTTAATTACAGCAGATACATACAACAGAATATTCAACAGCCTTTACACAAGGAACAGCATTATGTTTACTGGTTAGGAGCTGTCTCCAAGATACAGTATCAAATAAAAAGGCAAAGGAAAGGACAGTGATAGTGTATGATACCATTTGTGTATAAAACAAAAATAAATCCAGAAAACTATATATTTAATACAGTTATTATACATTTATGTTTTTTATATTTCTGGAAGTTTACCCAAAACACTGGCAACCTTGATTATCTCCTCTTAGTGAACTGGGCGGCTGAAGGAAAGACACAAGTAGTAGTATTATTTTTCACTCTATGTACTTATCTATGTCAGTTGCCCTATAATTAGAGCCTGAGACAGAGATTCTTGAGTCTGTGCTCTTCTAAGGGGAGTGGAGCAAGCAGGACAGGACCTGCATCAAAAATCAAGCAAGGATGTGGCCTTAGCTGGAGCCTAGCTTCTGCTGGAAACCCTGAAGGGCTCTGGAGTGTGAATAGTTCCATAAAGTTGGTCCTACCCGGAGACAAAGGGGCCAGGCTTTTGTACCTTTCTCAGTCATTGGCTGTGAGCCGCCTTTCAGGAGAGGTAGCTACTGTTGGCCAGAGAAATTCTTTAGAAAAGGAGGCAGCTCTGAGCAATTAGCAATTAACCTTCAAAGCAGCTAAGGGACCAGATTAGAAAAAGGAATCTGGGCCTTATAGGTGTCTGCTACAACCTTACTGTGTTTTCTGAAATCTATAGAACATGTATTTATCTCCTAAAAAAAAATCAGTTTAAAAATCAGTATTACAGAGGGTCTCTTTTTGTGGTTTGCAGGGATTCCAAATTCAGCAGGGATGCCAAAATTTAAAACAGTAAAAGCTAGCCTTGGAAATCCTTAGCAATTTTTGGGACCTAACTTGGCCATTTTTTCCACCAGTATTGAAACGGATTATGTTTCTTTGGACCAGCACTACATTTAATAGTTGGCTTGGATTTAGGTAACCTTCTATTTGGAAAATCTACAGCATTAAACACTGAGCTCATATTCATCGATCTGCGCCCCCAGGATGCTTCTTAGAGTAGATTTTTTATCCTTTATCTCAGGCTCACCCAGAATGGACTGGTACGAAGATTGAGCATATTATTTGTCTTTGTCCTGTATTTTTCCACATCTAATTATATGCTTATAAATGTAGTAGATGTTACACTGGAAAAAAATTTCCAAATATTGAATAAAAGGCAAAAAAATTCTACTAAGTGGCCTTCTAAAATCGCATTATACATTTTCTAATAGAGCCACTTGAAGGTGATATTGCTCAGGAAATGTGACTTCATAAAAGTTATTAATAGATGTTAACTTGTAAAACTTGGTAAGGTATGAGTTTTTTCCCTCTTTCTGGTAGAGAAGTTAACTCAAAAATTATGGTT